CTAATGGGTACCAGTTATCACTTATCTCCTGTTAATTCCCCTTTTGAAGTTCACCATCGCCTTAAACATGTATTGAACTCACTTAACTTTGGGTCCTGTCACTGGATCTAACTAACACTTTATCCACTGTGCTATGTGTCTTTGATGATATTTGTGTATGAATTTCTGGAACTTATAAACCTAATGTCTTCAAAACCATTTATGCCAGTGCTCATATTGCAATTTTTGCTGCTATCATATCATTTTTTTACCAGAGCTCATTTCCAATTTTTTCTGTTATCATTGCATTTTTTTTTACCAGAGCTTATATTGCAATTTTCGCACGTGGAACTAGAACTCTCTACCCCAGTGAGCGAGATAAAGCGTTCAATTCGACATTTCAAGTACTTGAAGAAGGCTGGAGCGTACAACGGCCGAAACATTGTGATGAATATGGCAACAAAGATGAGGACTATATTAAGACAATGTAAATAGTGTATGGAAAAACAGTATTGAGTTTTTATTAAATAAATGTTTGTTATTTTAATCATTAGATTGTTTTAAAATAGTGGGAATATTTTGTTTGTTACATAACAAAACTTATTTTTTCTAAAAAAACTTAATACAAATTTATTGTACTAATCGACACACGCTAATAAAACAAACTGTGCTTTGTACCACATTACATGTCTTCACTTCTCCCAAAATTTTAGTTTCAATCGTTCAATGTATTTGTCTTTTAGAGAGTGAGAAGGAAGATCTAACGGAAGTCACAGAAATTTATGGATAGATAGATTAGTATTCTATCACTGGCTTACTGCTGTTATTAGTAATAGATTACCATATCTAAATTAATATAATTTTGTGGCGAATTATTTAAATTGCAGCAATTTAATTTTCTATTTTTTTTTATGTTAGCCAATTTGTAAGAAAGCAAAATTTCCTTTTATACTCATATTCAGTTCCACATCAATGTTCTTTAAATTGAATATTTCTGCGCGTTTTTTCAAACACTTGAATCTTGATGAACTCAAAACTATTTTCTGAGCCTATAACTTCAATAAGTAGTGAATGAGTCGCAGAAGAAAACAACTCCACGATGTGAAATCCAATTTCCTGGTCCGGTGAGCGCTATAAAAATTAGCATGGGGATTAATTTTCTGATCAATGACTTTGTCTGTAATGTAAAAATGATTATTTAACAATCGATTCTTATTTTACGAGGCTGATCACTGTGAAGCAAAGCCTTAAGATAAAGACTCACTACTTCGTATGATTTCTTCTCTATTGAACAACCTCAATGAAAAATGCCTAACCCAATAGAATAGTGTATGCAGTCGATATCAATTATCAATATTTAATGGATTGGTAGCAAATTGAACGCGCCTGTGTAGCTACTAAATTACTTGTTTAGAAGATGTCACTCCATATACCTCTTTGGAAAAGAAGACGTTTCTTAATTATTTAAGTAGTGTCCAATATAGTATGTGTGCGATGATATAATTGTAGATAATATTACTCTATCATTTGTTGCGCGCGTGACAGTGGTTCTCCTGATTTGACTATCATCTGTTCCCCAACATGAAAAAAACACTTAGCTTAGAACAAGTATCGGGATCATGATTTCATGTCTGCTGCTAATGACTTCCTTTACAAAGAGGATGAACAGACTTCTTTTAACAGTCAGATGTCGGTTAACCCGGAAAGAAAAATTGCAGTAATTAATAAGAAGAATTGAAATTAATGCATGCAAGATTTCCCAGCACTAGACTCAGTCTTTGATAATCAGCCGTTTCAGCCCATCTTCGCAATGTTTGAATTTATATCAAAAACGTTAAAGTTGGTTGTTTACTTATGATTATCGCCATATCAATCTCTATGAGTCATTTCATGCCTAAATCCAAATATTTTGTACGCAACAGTATGAATGCAACTACAGAAACAATCTATTGTTACTCTACTATATAATGTATTGCTGGTTATATTGCTTCAAAACATATTGTTGGTAATTTTATTATAAAGAGATATTGTTAGTAGTTTTATTGTTTTATGTATTTTATACTTTCATAGTGTTTTTTTTTTTTTTGTGTGTGTGTGTGTGTGTGTGTGTGTGTTCATTGTGTGATGTGTGTGTGTGTGTCTGTGGTGTGTGTCTTTCAATTTATCTTCAAAACCTCCAATCTCCTGACATTGATGCCGGATGTGATCCTCATACCCAGGACTATCCATTGTTTCACACATAGTTTAATTAATTTAAATTCTGCCGAGGAGGCATTAATATCTTTCCCATATATATATATATATATATATATATATATATATATATATATATATATATATATATATATATATATATATATATATATAATAAAAAAAAAGTGATATAAAATCCTTTCAATTTTATTTTTACAAAGAGTGCTCAATGTAAAACAGAGCATTAATATTATAAATTAATTGATTTAAAATAATTTATTTTGCCAGTTCAACCATGTTTCCGGCTAAAAACCCTAATTTTATTTTTTGCAAATAAATTAAAAGCATTGTTCTATTTCATCTTCAAGCGAATTTTGGGTAACTTTTAAAATTTACCGGGTTTTTAAATACAGGACTAAAATCACGTTTCCATGGTCCAAGAATATTCTACTCAAATTGAACACGGGGTGTCTAGATTTTCCTTATGACAGTATCATTGTATCAGTTATTAACATTTTGGTAAGGATGTATTTTTGAAAACGTCAGTTGAATGGATGTCGTCTGAATTTAAAAAAAAAAAAAAAAAAAAAAAAAAAAAAATTGTTAACGGTAAAAATTTTCAACGTCATCTTTTAAAATTAAAGATTTTTTTACAATACTTTTTTATTTAACTACGATTTGAAATATTTTTTTTTAATTTTTATTTTACTATATTCTTTTAAGAACAGTTAAATATTATATTATATTATATATTATTTTATAGTTTAATATATATAGGTTATATATTAGTTGAAATGGTTACTTAATTTCACTGATTCACTAAACTTTTCTTTTATATAAACCTATTATATAATATTTCACACACACAGGACACACACATTCAAAACACACATGTTACACATATTATTTATTTTTACTATAGGTGTTACACACAGTATTACACAGGTTAGAATTCATTCAATTTAACTACAATTTTAATTACAAATTCAAAATTACAACTTTAAAATTTTAAAATATTTTCATTGTTTATACTATATATAACAGAAGGAAAATACTCATATTAAGTAAGATTATTTTTCCATATCAAAAGTATATATAAATATTTTCTTCTCTTTAAATTTAAATATTATTTAAGTATATATGGCACTTACTACAAATATATATAAACTTTATTAATTAATTAATTTATTTATTTCAAATATATGTAACCTAATTAATAAAGTTTCATATGTATAAATAACATGTTAGAATTCATTTTATTTTACTACAATTTTAATTTCAATTTTAAAATTTTAAAATTATAACTTTAAAATTTTAAAATATTTTCATAGTAAAATAAAAATTAAAAAGGAAAATATTTCAAATCGTAGTTAAATAAACGATAAAAAAAATCTTTAATTTTAAAAGATGACGTTGAAAATTTTACCGTTAACAATTTTTTTTTTTTTTTTTTTTTAAAATTCAGACGACATCCATTCAACCGACGTCAGGTTTCAGTGTAAAATACATCCTCACCTTGCAAAATGTGGCTAATAACTGATACAATGATACTGTCATAAGGAAAATCTAGACACCCCGTGTTCAATTTGAGTGAATATTCTGTAACCATGGAAATGTGATTTTAGCTGTGTATTTAAAACCAGTAAATTTTAAAAGTTACTCCAAAATTTAATGCTTTTTAATTTATTTAAAAAAAAATAAAATTAGGGGTTTTCACTTCCAAAAATAGTTGGAATAGTGCAAAATAACCATATTTTTTCAATTAATTTATATATATATTTATATATATATTATATTGAGTTGAGCTCCACACACTAGACTTGTGTATATATATATATATATATATATATATATATATATATTGCGATTGTCGAGCATCTACTTCCAAACATTTGAGAAAAATCCAATACCTTGTCACTAGACTTTCTGCTTGGCTGTTTTTACACAGGGAGAAAACGATTCCTAAAATATATAGGAATCACGCTAAACATATTTACCCCCTTTTCGGGCGGACCTCGAAATATCTTGTTTTTCTGGTAGTCACTTCCAAAATATATAGTGCAATGTGGTGATATTTTATATTTTTTTTTTTGCTCGTTGTTTTGAGTTTGTCGACTGTTCAGTACAGTTGGGTCATTTAGACACCGTTTTTGAGAAAAAAGAACAATATGACGCCATTCACTCCGCTGAAATGATTGGCATTTGCACCGGAAGCTTTAGGGCGAATACTTCAGAATGTTTGCCTGTCAATCTGAGGACAGTGCAGAGGATTTGGAAAAAGTTGGATGACTATAATCCTGATTTCGAAGTTATGGCAGTTCGGTAAACTCTCTCTGGTCGTTCTGACAATAAAAGAACTCTCGACATTATTGGCCAGGGCGTCAAAACCAACACAGAGGCCTACATCAAGTGCCTTGAAGAGTAAATGCTGCCTTGAGTCTAGAGGGCTCATGCTGGAAAACCCTATTGCTGGCAAGAGAACTCTCATATCTCACAAGTAGAACACAGATATGACTTTCAGATAATTTCTGCGACCACATCACTTCTTACATCTGGCCACCTAATTTCCCAGATTGCAACAGCCTTAATTATTAAGTGTAGGGCGCCGTTGATGGAGCGACAAACAAAACTCCTTGTAATGGCAAAGATGAACTGAAGGCAAGGATTAGCTGCAGGAGATTCCGAAGTCTGGAGGACGTGGTTGAAGCTACTTTTGCCGTTTTCCATTCTTTCTTTCTTTCTTTCTTTCTTTCTTTATTCATTTATTTATTTCGATCTTTCTTTCCTTACTTTTGTCTTCTTTCTATCTTTTTTTTTTCTCGCTTTATATGGTTTCTTTCTTTCATTCATTCTTTCTTTCATTCCTACTATTCTTTCTTTATTTCTTTTTGTTGTCTGCTATTCATTCTTTCTTTGTTCTTTTCGTTCTTTCTTTCTTTCTTTCTTTCTTTCTTTCTTTCTTTCTTTCTTTCTCTCTTTCTTTCTTTCTTTCTTTCTTTCTTTCTCTTTCTTTCTTTCTTTCTTTCTTACTGTTTTCTATTCTTTACTTGCTTGGTTGTTTGCTTGTTTGTTTGTTTCTTTCTTTTTTTTCCTGCTGTCTTCCATTTTTCTTTCTTGATATCTTCCCTTTCTTTCTTTCTTTCGTTATTGCTGGCTTGCCTTTTTTCGTTCTTGCTGTCTTCCTTCTTTCTTTCTTTCTTGCTGTTTTCCTTTTTCTTTCTTTATTGCTGTCTTTTATTCTCTCTTTCTTTCTTTATTTCTTCCTTCCATTCCTCCTTTCTTTTTCCTGTCATCCAATCTTTTTTATTTCCTTCTTTAATTCTTTATTTATATTATTCTTTCTTTCTTTTCTTTTGTCTACTTTTGCCCTTTCTTTTTTTTTTCATTTCTCACTTTATATGGTTTCCTTCTTCCATTTTTTCTTTCTTTCTTTCATTCCTACTGTTCCTTCTTTCTTTCTTTTTGTTTTCTTCCATTCATTCTTTCTTTCTTACTGTCATCCATTCTTTCTTTCTTCTTTTCTTTCTTTCTTTCTGTTTTTCTTTCTTTCTTTCGTGCTGCCTTCCATTATTTGCTTGCTTGTTTGTTTGTTTTTTCTTTCTTTCTTTCTTTCTTTTCCTGCTGTCTTCCATTCTTCTTTCTTGATATATTCCCTTCTTTCTTTCTTTATTGCTGGCTTGGATTCTTTCTTTCTTTCTTTCTTGCTGTTTTCCTTTTTCTTTCTTTATTGCTGCCTTTCATTCTCTCTTTTTTCCTTTATTTCTTCCTTCCATTCGTCCTTTCTTTTTTCTGTCATCTATTCTTTTTTATTCCTTCTTTCTTTCTTTCTTTCTTTCTTTATATCGTTCTTTCTTTCTGTACTTTTTTCTTCTTCCTATCCTATTTTTTTTTCATTTTTCGGTTTATATGTTTTCTTTCTTTCTTTATTTCTTTACTGCCTTCCAATTTACTTTCTTTTTTTGTCTTCTATTCTTTCATTTTTTTTTCTTTCTCTCTTTCTTTCTCTCTCTCTTTCTTTTCTTTCTTTCTTTCATCCATCTATTCTTTCTTTATTCGATTGGTTTTTTTTTGCTGTCTCCTACTCTTTCTTTCTTTATCTATTTCGTTCTTTACTTCTTTACTTTTGTCTTCTTCCTCTCTTTTTTTCATTTTTCGGTTTATATTTTTATTTCTTTCCTTCTTTCTTTCCTTCTTTCTTTCATTCCTGCTATTTTCCCTTTTTTTCTTTCTTTTTTGTCTTCTATTCATGCTTTCTTGCTTGCTGTCTTCCGTTCTTTCTTTATTCCTGTCATCCATTCTTTCTTTATTTCTTTTTTTCTTTTTTTCTCTTTCTTGCTGTCTTCTATTCTTTCTTTCTTTCTTTCTTTTTTTTCTTTCTTTCTTTTTGCTGTTTTACATTCTTCTTTTTTTTCTTTCTGTCTTTTTCCTTTCCTGGCGTCGTTTTTCTTTCTTTCTCACTGTCCTTCTCGCCTTCTTCCTTTTTCTTTCTTTCTTTATTTAAATTGACTGTTCTTTCTTTATTTCTTTCTTTCTTTATTCATTTTATTTCTTTTCAAACCTTGGCATTCTTAGTATTTACTTTTTTTTTCTTTTCATTTATTCGGACACGATTCTCTTTTATTTACGATTCCTCTTCTTCTCCTTTTTTAATATGTTTCGTCCTGTCAGCATTTGACACAATCAATAAACCCTCGGCTCCTGTTTGAAGTGAATGTCTGAGCTTTTCCTACAAAAGCGCGCCTAATTTGTAACGTTCTACCACGCAATTACTTTACAATCCCCTTGTCGACGCGTCGCCTTTTTCACACTGCATCGATCAAGTTTGTTTCAACTCATCAAAGTCCGACTCGAACAGAACACCAAACCTCAAGAGAATATCTTGGCACAATTTTCCTTTTTCTCTAACCTTGGTCTCTATTGTGATGAGCTTCATTAAAGGGAAACAATCCATTTTTATTTCTAGAAATTTGTTGAAATTTCATTCAACGAGATGGAAAAATAAACTAGTTTAAAATCCAATTATAAATTATGAACTGAAATGTTAAGGCACCTGATTGGGCCGATATGTTAGATAAATTTTCTGGACACAAGAGTTTTAGCGCCACTAAAATATAAATCTTGGAGGACAGAAAAGACTGAACAATGTTTACGTAAAGAATTTATTGACATTGTACTTGAATCTCATTTCTAAACAGAATAGAAGGCCTACAAAATATGCAACAATGGACATGTATTATTAGTCTGTCGGTGGGTGGGGGGCTATACCCACGTGATTGCATCTTTGGAAAGTACCTGAAAAACGTCCCGCCGGTTGATCCAAGCCTTGCGAATGAAATTAGGTGAACGATGATTTTTGCTAGCACGGAGTCACAAGTCATTGTGACCGAAGGTGCTCGATGGTGCTCGCCTGTTGATCACGCCTCAAAATACGCTCTCTCCGATAAATTGTAAATTAGGTCTGCTCAGTAGAGTGTCATTGAAAGCAACAGTGGGTGTTGAAGAAACAGAAGTGAGCTTGAGGAATCATCGGCAACGGGGATTGGTTAGCTTCACTAGTAGACATGCATAAGCAGATACGAGCGGTTAGTCCATTATGTATGTTAAAGATGCATGAATCAGAGCTAGCGCATTTCAAACACAATGTCAATTTTCTACATACAGCTTGTGAAAGCCGCCAAACAGGGGAGGTAACAATGTTTTCGTGGCTAAGGCAGTACTGCCACCCCTGGTGCCATCAGCAGCTTTTGCTTCCGGACAGTGTATTGTTTTGTATCCGTGTCAGTCTCTTGCGATTTATTTTTTCAACTGCAACGAAAATATTCAAAGTCGTGTTTAAATACACAACGCGTTCGTAGCGACCATTATTAATTACTTAGAATGGAAGGTAAACCGATGTGTTTCCCGTCAGAGGTAGCATTGTATTGCGAGCATGGGTTTATTTAATTATATTTATTTTGTATCTTGACAAGATCCAAATTAATGCATGTTGAACTGTCGTCTGCAGACGAAGCAAACACGTTTCAGGTTCCGGCAAGTGAAACCTAAATTCAATAGGAGGAAAATGATTGACCATCCATAGAATCCACGCCACCTGACCTCAAAAGATAGCACATGATATGCTCATCTTTTTTCACGCAGTCGGATCGCAAAGATTGGCTTTTCTTGCGATTGTGACCGTTCTCACTGTTCTCCATTCATGGATCCGTTGATTCTACTTGGAGGACACACGTCTATCTACCTGAATGATGTGTACCGGAAATTAAAGAGGTTTTCTAAGATCAACTACAATCCTCTAATCACTGGCTCCACACATTAGTGTCATGCTGAAAGGCATTTGGATTATTTGCACAGGAAGTTCACCTTCCTTGTGAAAATGGATCTTAGGTTCTCTGGCTTTTCGAAGCTGTTTTGTTGGCTGCTTCACACTGACTACTGGCTAGGTCCATGACCACATCTTGCATTTTGTTATTCTGTCACGTGTATATCTGCAGTGATTGTGGGCAAGCAGAGAGCTCGTCACGTAAAGTGTCTCGATCACTTTGTTATAATGCGCATACATCAGGGACAGTGCCCGCAAAGCTCTTGGTTGGTCGCATTTGGTAGAACATAGGAAGATCACAAGAGGAATGATATTGACAATGGCTCCATTTTAATCAGGCAATTTCATGACAGGTTCATTGAATCAATATCACTCCATGTCGTACAAGAAGATTGTTTAAACTGAGAAACAGCAGTAGCTGTTCGATGCTCTTCCTCGAAATTCCTGATTTCTTCAATCATCATGTCTAGTTTACCCTTTCTACCCTGTTTGGAGAAAAACTGGTTGCTCGTGCTGCCCAGGCCAGTTCGCTTGGTTTGAGTCACCCCCATAAACCCCTTTGTTCGCAGGTTGAATTCTGCTTCTTGGGTGGCTTCTACTGCAGATCATTTCGTGCCACTTTAGATATCTGGCCGTAATCTGTGGAGAACTTATCTAAAGTCTCTCTCATCATCATGTGAAGACGTACCGCCCCGATCTTGAACTCGTCTACTAATGTGAAAATGGAAAGTTGCAGTTTACCGGCGTTGGTATAGAGCGTCACTGCGGAGAAGTAGAGGTGACTCCACGCCACTTACACAGGAACTTGTTGATACGCTGCATACATGTGCAATGACCACAGAACCCCGGAAACAAACAATGTTGGTAGCACAAAGCTTTCAGTTTGCTGGATAGATGGATTCTCTTGATTGATTCAAGTACATTTAGTGCTACTTTCTTCACCTTTTTATCTCGGTGACAGTCAGACAGTGGAATGCTTATACAGCTGTCCCAGGATATCCTCTAGCGTCTCTTTTCCTGCCGAGATCACGTCACCCCCAATGCAGAAGGGCATCTCCTGATTAATGAAAAACTCCGGATATTCGCCCACGTGAAAAGCATATTGTAGAAATTCATCGGCATTTGCTGTGTCCGCTGTGCGATAATGAGGGACACACGGACGATGAATTTATCCGCAGATTACGGCCAGATATATAAACTGGGACCAAATTATCTGCAGTAGAAGCCACTCACGAAGTAGAATCTAGCCTGCGATCCAAGGAGTTTATGTAGGTCACTAAAACCAATAGAGCTGGCGTGAGCAGCACGAGTAGCCTGTTTTTCTGCAAACAGGGTCCAAAAAATATGCTTCGATTACATGGAGTGATATTGATTCAATTAAACTGTCATAAAATAACCTGATTATAATAGAGCTATAGTTAATATCATTCCTCCTGCAATCTTCCTATGTTCTACCAAAACCGACCAACCAAAAGCTTCGTCACAGATGTATGGGCATTATGTGAAGGTGATCGAGGCATTTTACGTCACATGCTCTTTGCAAATTCACAATCACTGCATATATACACGTGTCATCATAATGCAGTGCTGGATTTAGTCAGTAGACAGTGTGAAGCAGCCAACAAACAGCCAGTAAAAGCCAGAGAACCTAAGATCCATTTTCACAAGGAAGGTGAACGCGCTGTGCGAATGATCGAAATGCTTTCCAGCAGGGCGCGAGTGAGTGGAAGCCTTGATTGGATGGTGTTAGTTTATCTTAGAACAACTCTACAATCTCCGGTACACCTTCTTCAGACAGACGCACACCTTGACATTGTAGGGTGTGTCCTCTAAGTAGAATCAACTGTTCCGTGGAGAACAAGGAGAAAGCTCATGGTCGAAAGAAAAACCGCTACGAATCGCTGCGATCCGACTGCGTGGAAAAAGGATTGGGTATATAATGTGCTTTCGTTTGAGGTCGGGAGCCGTGGATTCCATGGACACTCAATCGTTTCCTTTCTTTTGAAATTGGGCATCACTACTAGAACGTTAATCGTGATTTATTTCTTCTCCAGACCACAGTTCAACATGTATCAATTTGGATCTGGTCAAAGGTCTGAAGAAAAAAAAATGTCGCTATTTTCTTCAAGATTAATGAATATCTATAGATAATTTGATAGATTACTTTACTAAAATTAAGCTGGTACTTAATATTAAATTTAACCTATCAACTTATGCATCCGTATTTCTCTTCGAATTAAGCTTATTAAGACTTTATAATGTTGTTGAAGTGTTTGTTCCTCAATTTTTAATCAATCAGCTATTTCCTCTTTTGCGATGATTATCACTTGCCTGCATGCGTTCTACTTAATCACGTTCACTGTCTGGTTTTTCAGCTTCAACAGCCAGGAGTTTCACGAATCCAAATATTGGTTTTAGAGAGAAATACCATATATAGGTAATGTGATTTTATCGAATTCGAATTCCAGTCGAGTTATTTAGATTGACTTACGCGCAAATACATCTGTGAAAGTTATGAATCCGTTTCAACTCCCCCAATCTATGGATTGAATAGTGGGACAGACTGAGTTCTTTAGCCTTGGTTGGTAATCAGTCCACCACAGAAATAAATGGCAACCTACTGCAGGAAAAAAATCCTCGTCGGCAAGCAAGTATTGAAAAGATACATGATCGCCCAAGCGTGTATCACGTATGTCACTTAACTGACAGACTGATTTTTTTGTAAAAGATCTTGCAAAGCCATGGAAATAATTATTTGATATGTCATTTTATATGCGGTGGTTATACAGCAGACACATACAAAATGTCGGCTCCTTGCTGGGAGATTAAAAAGAGAAAATGTCTATTTACATGTGTGGATTAATTTCTCTTCCGATTGGTTAAAAAATACATCGTGACTGCACATCTTCTTCCTCAGACATTTAAAATTGCTTCATACATTTCGGATAAACCCCTCATATATAAATTATCTCAAAATGGCATTTGGCGATGCTAATCCTAGTTGTGATTTTTTCTTCTTATTACGAGATTTGCTGATCAAATTTTTCTAAAGCACAACGCCATCGTACCGTGTCATGGGTACGAAAATCAACTATATCCGGCAGCAAGTCCTCTGATCATTGGGGGTGGCGGAGGAGCGTGGAACCACCTCGAAATTCCTGTTGTTCTCAGGTCCACCCTAACCCAAGGTGGTAGTATCTTTTAGGCTCCCAGCTATGGGAAATAGTGCTTTGAATTTTTGCGCGTGGTTGGACCACGAGGTACAAAAATACATTATGGTAAAAATACCAGAAATATATTAATAAAAAATCAGTAGTAATAGATGAATCTCAAAACTATATATATAAACACACGTTTACCATGAAAGTATACAATTATGTACGAAAT